TACCCAGTCAGCCAGCTTCTGTTTCAGAACTCTCTTGGTCTCAGAGACATTTATTTAGGAATTGTTATGAGCTATCGAATTGGTACAGTGGTCATGTAGCCCTGTACCATTGGGTAGCATTCATTATAACTGTTACCTCTTTCACCAGTGAGGTCCATTTGTAGATTTTTTTTTAGTGAGCTGAATGCTGGACCCTTCTTCCATGATCTTTGTCATAGCCATACCCCGTGTCTTCCTTCATTTCATCCCACTCCCAGTCCACCTTCCCCAGCAGTGGGCTTCTGACCTCTGCTCTGCCACTCACCTTTCTGGGCAGATGTCCTTGAGTGAAGAATGATGACATGCTCTTCTGTGAAACCTGTATTTGTCCTTCCAGGGGCTAGACTCTGGCACCACTCTAATCAAAAGACCATCTACTTTTCGGCCATTTCTTGCTGACTGCTCTTTACCCCAACAAACTCCAGGGGATGCTGACCTGCTTCTGAGAAGTTCCCATCAGGCAGCTTCGGATGTATGGACAAACTTCTCAGTCCCCTGCAGTTCTCTCTAAGAGGGTCTTTCCCTCCTCTACATGTAGATCAATGTGATCTGAGGCTGATAGAACTATCTTCATGATTGTTTGTGCTGTAATCTGCAAATTTGACTGAACATTTTTCTCTAGAGTATAAAGATACTGGGATTCTAAATGATGCATTCATAAGTCTGCCTTTGAACTTCTTGCAAAACTTAGATAACCCTCATCAACACTGTACTTCAGTCTGGGGGTATAACTCAATTCAAGAATAGTTGCCTAGCATGTACAGAGTTATGGGTTCAGTCTATATTTCCAGAACAATAAATAAAGATTCCATAGTTGAAGTAGGTTTGGGACATTTTCTATCCTTCTGATGGTTCTAGTCAAACTTAACATGTTATCACATGTCATTTCTTTGAGCTCAGTCTGTATCCACAGGGACAGATAAAGTCCCATCCTCCAGCATTGGAAGCGGTTTGTTGGATCCCTTCCCACAGGCTCTGTCAGGTTGTTCCTGGGCAGTGAAAGGAGGGCAGACAGCTGGAGGGTAGCCTTGGGCCAGTGCCTATCCAGCCCCACCTGCTGGGAGGCAGGGGCTCTCATCCAGCCAGACTTCAGAAGCAGTACACTGCCTTGTCTTCTGCCCAGTGAAGCACAGCATACGAAGAGGAGTGCCCCCGTCAGCAATAAGCACTCCTTTCTGCCCGTATTAATTTCACATTTTACAATTCTTGTGCCCATTACAGGAGATACAGCTTATAACCAAATCATCTTTCTCATTTTAATAATGAGGCATAAAACCAGAAAGCATTGTTCTCTTTAAATACTACACAGAAGCTGACCAGACTTGATTTGTTGTCTAGCCAGTGTATTTTAAAACACAAGAAAAATTTCAGAACTAGACTTAACTGGCAAGAGTGTTTATGAATAATTAAGTCTAGCTAACTTGCTAGAAAGCCACATGACAGACCATTTATGTGTTTCTGTAATCCATACAGTAGCAAGGAACCAACACTCTTGCTTCATAAGCTCTCAGTCTAATGAACTTACAGAAAGGATCCTCGGTGGGAAGGGAGGAGCTGGTAACTTGCCTTACTATTTCTTCACTCAGACAAATCCCCCTCTATCCTATACATTCAGCATGCCAATGGCACAATCTGATAGATTCAACTGAACTGGGAAATTCTCATCAAATAAATTTGTGGTTTAGTCATTACTTCCAGAAGGTTCACTAAATTAGAAACACTACAGCCTAATGACTCAATTTCATTTTAACGTCATTGCTCATATTCTCGATACACATAAATCATTCCCTATTGCATAACATCTTGGGTAGGCACACTCCTAGGGGCAATTGTGGTTCTAATTCTATACCATTGTTGCTTCGTGCTTTAAAATAGAGAAGTGGGAGCCTCTGCATGATTTCTGTAATTAATTTAAACAGCATTTTATAAAAGGCCATTTCAATAATGTGTTCTTATTGGAAAGGGAAAAAAATTGACATTTCTTACTCGGAGGGATTTTTATTTTCCAGATTCCTAATTAGGATATTTCCACAATTGCAATTATGGAATTTTTCTTACATGGCTCCCCTCCCAGAATGCTCTAATTAAAGGAAGTGATGCCTAGTGCAAAATGTCCTGTTGTGAAAGCTTTGCTTAATTATAACCTTCCTCCACTTACATCAACCCCTCCGCACATCCACCTGACACGCCAGCAGTTCCCACCAGTCCTGATGCCAAAACAAAACTGGCGTCTGGCCATTTAGATCACCTTGGTCCAAACTACCCTCCTCTCCCTGTGACGGTTTCAAGCGCTTGCTAATTGGTCTCCAGACCTATCTACAAAGGAGTGCTGGGAGAATACTGTATTTTCCCACTTTAAACCCCATGATCAGTTTCCTATCTAGAATAAAGCCAAACGCCTCGCCGAGGCATACACACTGCTGCGTGCAGTCCCGTCCCCCATACTTCTTCTCCCATTCCTCAGGTTGATAGTGTCCTCATCCATAGCACCACTTAAATTCTTTTCCAATTCGGGGCCTTTGCACGTGTCTCTCTTCTGAGACCCTCTTCCTCCACATCTTTAGTGCTTTGGCTTCTCTGCAGAGTCCTTTCTTGATGCCATCTCTTGAAGCCACCTCCTTCTCCGAGTTATGTCACGTACCCCTTCTTACAGACCCCTTCCTTATCCCATGGCATGCCTCCTCGCTGGTAATTAACCAATTTAGCTTCTCGAAATCCTGCTTTTGTTATCCTAGGAGCACTGGAAATGCTGCTTAGAATTGAATCCCCAGGGCAAAGTCAGGTGTGAGTGGTGGAGGCTCAGCCATTGGTCTTTTTTTTTTAAATATAATTTTTTTATTGAAAAAAAAAAGATTTCCGCCTCCTCCCCGCCTCCCATTTCCCTCCCCGTCTCCCTTTCCCCCCCCCTTCCTCTCCCCT